GGGGTTATTAGTAATAAATATTACATTTGCCACACTTTACATGTACCTATCTATTCTTTAAATATATATGATTAGTTCTTTTGCGTGTATTTATTAATTGGTAAATTTCTTTATAGTACTTAACCGACCGATTTTTTAAAAATTACATAATTTGATTAGTTAATTATCATAGGAAATCACGGGTTGGCCGACAAAAATTAACCAATCAGACGAAATTCTTTCTATGAACTGATTGTTGATTTCAGAATTTTTTTTTTTTTTTTTTTTTTACAGCTGTTTCATAAATCTAAATATTACTGTATTAAAATAAAATTATTTACTAATTTAATTCGTAAATATCTGTAATCGTTTTTTTTTTTTTTTTTTTAGCAAGAACATTAGGACTACGTTAGGACTTCGTCAACTATAGTATCTATAAATTTTGGATCACAGATCCGGATCGGACCCAGATCTAAGTGATATAAGTTTGGACTCTAATTTTAGATCCAAATCGATGTTCAGACTGGGTATGGATCTTTAAAAATACCCTCTTAGTCCGAATCATATGAAACACTAGTTTTGAACATTATATGCATCATGTAACTTTGGGGTGGGCTGTTAGCTATGTTGATCAAAAATATATGTGGATCATTAATAAAATTATTAGTAATCGATTTTTTTTTAATTTAATGATTAAGATAATAATCAAAGTAATTTATCAATTTTATATAAGTTTTAAATAGTAAAGAGTGATACAGATATTTTTAGATACAAGGACAGAATGATGCAATTTTTTTTAATTATTTTGATATAAAACTATTCTCAAACATATATATAACAAAGTTATGTTAAAAGTTTTCTTATACCAATATTTAAATTTCAAACCAACACTTTATAAAAAATCTATTTTATATTGCATACTATTAGAAAAAAAGAAGACATTTGCTGGCTAGTAAAGTTTTTGCTTTAAATATAAAATTTTTTAACATAACTTTGTTCTTTGGAAGTAGTTATTAATTTTACCAGTTTTGGTTACTTTAAAACAGGACAAATTTGGGTCTCTACATCTAAATTTGGTAATAATTAGTAAATTTCCAAAATAGGAATTTACAGATCAAACAAACGATGTTACCAAGCTCGACAAGCAGCTCAAAAAAGCTTAGAAAAGCGTCAAGCTGTCTCTCATAATAAGATTATTACAGAAATCAAAGCCCTATTATTAGATTTTAATCAAGAACAGCTTGATGATATTTATAAAATATTAACTAAGCTTATGAATAATGAAACCATTAGTAATGATATTTCACATGACAATGAGATTTCAAAAGAAGAACATCAGAAAATCAAATTAATGTTTTTGGTTTAACAACTATCCGATAAAGAGATACACGCAGCTAACCATCTTCTTACAACTATGCGTTATCCAAAAAGATCTGATGAGGGCAAACTTTTATCACTATATCTTCAAAAGAAGGCATATAATTATGTTACTGATAGTCTTTATAAATCTCAATCATCAAATGAATCCTTACAAAATGCAAATAATAGACTAGCATTAGAGAATAAAAGACTTACTCGTCAAAATAAAAAATTGATTGGAAAAATGCAATCACTTGAGGCACAAAAAAAAATTTTATATAATCAAAAATTACATCACATTTTGGAAATTCGTTCTTTAGTTCAAAAATCACAAGCGATGACAGATACTGCATTTAAAAATAAAATTAAATCACTTTTTAAGATAAATAAACAGGAGTATTCATCTAATACTATTTGGCTTGCCAGTAGTATTTCACAAGTAGGAAATATTTCAATAAGGTCAATAATCGAATATACAAAAATTATTTATGAATTCTTAATAAGTAAGCCTCCTCGTAACTGGATATCAACTTCAACTCTTTATACATGCCATCACGATATTTCAAATTTCATAATACTATACAAGTTTCTCAAATTAAGCAAGCACCAGCCTTTGGAATTATGGTCGACGAATCTAGTTGTGGTGAAACAAAGAA